TCAGGTGGAGAATTGCTCCGGAAAGCTGTATGACATTGTCTCCTGGCTTTCAATAGAGCTGATATATGTTGCTGTATTGACTTTGTGCATAGCCGTGTTGCATGTACTGTTTTTGAGATATATGGTTGAGGCTTGAAATGCTAATTGGTAGTAGTCCTAATAATGGCACGATAAAGTATTCAATCAAATACCTTTGATGCAGGGGATCGGACTGAACTCTCCCCGCATCTACCATGTGGTACCAGAATATCAGTGTCAACAACGTGGAGACGTGCTGATATGCACGTCACTCTTGAATGCCGCCATTCATGCAACCTACCTACCTAGGTCGGTAGAGAACGGGGTGGAGTACTTGGACTCGAGAAGACGGGACGGCCTCAATCAGCCAAGTAAGTGCTTGGAGGCTTCCGCAACGCTAATGGTTGGGGAGATCGATACTCCGTAGCCCCCAAACATTTTGGCTTCTCGCGACTCCATTTTGCAGCCACTTCAAATCGTTGTGCGGCATGTTCCAGCGACAAGCGCGGCTCTTTGGTCCATCCGCAACTGACGATGCACAACCCTGCTAGACAATTGTTCCAGTTACTAGTTGCCAGAAGCGTGGAAAAAGCATCGATGATCTTTTACACATCGACGATCTGCTGCGGACACTAAGAAATCCCTGCTGGCATCTAACGAAGCCACCGGAGTGTTGCCCAGCTGTGGGTACAAGTTTGATAATGCACGATCGTCGAACTCCTCCATTGTATTTTGAGCAAACGAGCGCCCTATTCTCGCAGAAGCTACCGAATGGCGCCTGTAGATAAAAAGGTCCTCATGCCCCGCAGCTTGCATGCTACTGGGAACTAAATTCCAAGCAATCAGCTTTCACTGACGATCTGTGGAGATGAAAAACGTGGCTGGGCTGGGGAATTGAAACGGCTAGTTGCAGGAGATGGATTCTGGAGAATCTGAAATGACTTGATCGGATCGACAAGAGTCATTGACTTCTGACGCGGCTTGCAGATCTCAGCCGATAATGGGAGAGAAATTAATACTGTACGTACGTATTCGAAAAGCCCAAGTCAAATTGTCACTCTGAAACGGGTTGACCAGGACAGTCAACTCAAGCAAGCTGTCATCTCATTGATTGTGGGACAATTGCGATTGATCCGCTCTATCTTCTTGTTCTTGTGGCTCCGTACCTAGGCTCCGCTCATGGAATGCCTCTAATGACCCCTCTATTCGGCTGGTGAAAGACTTGAGGACGGCTCACTGAATATCAAATGCCCGGTTGTTCCATCTTGACACGTGAGGACAACCCATCTATGCGAGTGTCTTACTGTCTTGCTGACGACCCGGGAAGCAACGTTTGCCAAGAGCGGAAGGGTCGTGCCATCCGCTGGCGAGACTGTGCATTCGGTCTCCGCTCGGGCTTTTGCTTGACACCGTAATTTGCAGTGTGCTTCAGCATAACTCGTGGTAGAGGCCGAGTCGGTCACGGAGCTGATGCCGAAACTTGGTCCAATAGTACATCACCAGTCCGTATTATCTGCGCAGTAGTACTACAGAGTACTGGACAGAACTGGCAGCATGGCGGCGCCTGGCCCTTGTCAATGCATCGTTGCTGTCTTGGAAAAACAGTGTAAATAAAAGTCGGACTACAGCGCTACCCCCGGTCCTCGGAGCACTTGTCGCTGCCGTGGCTGGCCACGCGGGTTGCAAAAAAGGCCGCTCACCTGTGTGTGTGGTTGTGGGTGCGGGGTGTGCGGCCTTTTTTGCAACCCGCGTGGCCACTGGCTTTTTGTCGCTGCCTATTCAATCATCCCTGTGTAAACGAGTCACCGCGCAGTAACCCGTCAACCCACCATCGACGACGAAATGTCCGTCACGGGGAGAATGTCATCAATTGACAGCACGTCGTTCGATTGAATCGAAAGTGTGACATACATGATGTCGCTTCTTTGACTGACTGATTGACTGGTATTCCCTGCAAAGGTCCATCACGGTTTCTTGGAAGACGTTGAGTTAGGATCGGAGATTTGCAGGCCCATCAGGAGTCGCCGATGAAGCCAGCCCACTTTCAAGACCCAAGCCTCAAACCGACGGGTCTCACAAGCACTGGATTTTGCTCAAACCGGCAGGGTACATGCATATACTGAAGGACCGAAGCTACATATAGCGTCGAGGCCTTCGCCAAAAGGTCACAGTGCCATGGAGCCCTTTGCTTGCGTTGAGAGGGCACCATGCAAGTACCGAGGTGAACCCAGTCCTCCGCGTCTTTCATGAGGGGTGTGCGGATGGACTGTAACTTCGCCAGAGGGCTCAGACATGGTGCTCTAGTCCTAGCCTGGTAAAATAGTTTGACAGGACTGTACGGAGTACGGAGGTATTTATGCGTATGCGGGCTTCAGTGGTGACAGCATGTGCTGTGCTATTCTGAGCTGCGCATCCTTGATGGCATTCTCTCGGCTGGTGACTCAGTCAGCCCATACCAGTCAGCCTCACTAAATGCGCGTTTCTGTGTTGCACGGGTTTAAGGCTGAGCCATTTGGCAGCGACATCGTGTTTTCGCATCACCCACATGCTGACCAACGTGCAAGCGGTGGGCAAAAACCGAGACATCAGTCATCCATCTGCCGCATGACCTTGCTCGATGTTGGTTGACTTTGGACTGCAATGATACAGTACTCGTGTACCAAAATCAGAGTGGCTGACCATGCTTGCCGTACCACCATCACTAACTGACGTCTCCGTTGTGAAAGGACTCAATGTTGGTAGTGGTCTAAAATTAGGCAACTACACGGCACTTGTTTTTTGGGCTTCTCAGTTATTCGCTGGAGATGGCAACCCCATGTGCCGTCATCGCGTCACTGCACTCATTGCTCCTTTTTCGATTTGTGAATTATGACAGTATTTTGGTCACGTTGTACCCAATATCGGTGACGGAAAAGCACATGCGCCTTCTCACCGGGACACAGGTTGACGCTGGCGCTGTGCGCATGGCAAAGGATGCTGGCATTTTCACAGGCCTGTTTTGCCATCGTTCCCAAGTTGTCCGGTATGAGGAGTTGGGACGACGGACATATTCTCCGCAGGTATTGCCCTTTGGTTGGATTGTTGCGAGTTAGCGTCGTGCTGGTGTGTACCCATGTCTGTGACGCTCTCTGCTTTCACATCTTACTTGTTCAGGGAGGAAATATTGTACAACGCTTGGCATGTTGTCGAGTAGGCGCACATTAACTTACCGAGGGAGATATGCCTTGTTGCTGCATGTCTAAAACGCCAAGCTGACGACTGCACTATCCAATGTGATAGTTGTATCATGTCACTTGACGTGTGCTGCAGATTGTGTATGTCTTCAACAGTTTGCAGCATGCGAGCCAAACCAAGCCGCGGAGTTTTCTCCGTTTGAATGTAATATGCTGCTTTTGTCGAAGATTGCGAAGGTGGAAATCATATCAGTATGCAGAAAATATGATTCCAGCCTGTATTCAAGCCATTCGAGATGCTTTGCTGGGCCGACTTGTCGTTCCTGGAGTACTGTACACCTAGGGATTGACAAGAACGACTAGCCAGGATCGCTGAGCCAATACGGAGTACTCGTTCGTAATTCGCGTTTCAACGGCAATCCATGAGCTTTCGCCTGTCAAAGGCTCAACCATTACTAGATCACAGGCAGCTGCAAGGGCAGAAACAGTGGCTTGTGGTGGACTCCACTGTCGCGAAGGGGAGGCTATTGAGGCTAAGCGTGAACCCAATGCCAGCGACATTGGACGGACAAGGCGGACTCATGCCGTCCCATTATATCCACTTCCTGCCCGAGCTCTCCGATTCGGTAATATCCTGCTCGGATAAATTCAAGGCTTCGTTATTATGTGCTAGGGTTCGATTTGCCGGACGCTGGCATTGGTCGCACCGGGCTTGGTTTGCCTTTTCCGCATCACCAAAAAGCTAGACTCGTCATCCACAGGCCGTGACTAAGAAACGCCTGGACGGAGCACTCCAGACTTCCCCAAGAGGGCAACTAGACTGGCTGGGCCATGCAAATGACGGGGGGCAACCGGCAGCTCTATGAAGAGTATATGTGTATTCGAAACGGAGGCGCCGGAGCAGTATGTTTTTGCAAGAAAGCTGAAGATGGGGGCGACAGATAGCTCATGGTCTGGGAATACTACTCCGTCGCGGCCAGCAGCCTAATGACTCGATTGTTACTCCGTATGTTCGGAATAAATGCATCTGCCTGCTGTTCACCACTATGCACCAAGCAAAAAAAGCTGCCTGGCTCATGCCAACACTGGTGAAATAGTGAATAGTAAAACACCAGATCAAAGACGTCCTAGACCATTCTGCTCTCTAGTTGTACGCGCGGAGGACGCTGCAACGAACCAATAAATGGTTCAAAATAATGTCGTAGGTGGGCTAGGGTGATATGACAGAGGGGACTTGGCACCCTGGCTGGTCCCTGGCACCATTTCTCTGAAATCTGTACTCGGTACCCTGCTTGCTTGGCCGCTCAGTCCTCCGTAATGTAATGTAGCGCATTCCCGCCTGTTTATTCGTTGCTCGCTGTCGTACGCCAAAGGCATAACCGTCTGGGCCTGTTAGGGTTTCGAGGCAATCTCCCCAAGTGGAAGTGAATATGCCTCCCCTGGACAACAGGGCGAGCCCAAGGTCCAAGGAGTTCTAGCCCCTTGGAGTACGGAGGCTGCTCCGTAATATTGCGACAAGACTTGGCTGGCTGGGCATGGCGTGGGTGAGTCTGACCAGAGTCGACGGCTTTGTTTTGAGTGCGGAGTTCCAGATGGCTGCCGCCTTCTGTGGTCTTGGCCGGTGCCCAGTGCCCAATGTCGCTGAGCTGCCATGCTCGCATATTTGCATAAATGCGGCCTACATGCATGGACTAGGAAACTTTCTTCCCTGCTTTCCACCCCCCCAAACAAGCGCCGGGCGCCCCTCCCCGTTCGCTGCCCCCACTCGCACCCCTCCTGTCCCCCACTACATGCATCCACCCCGTCAAAATGCAACTTCGCCCTGCAAACCCGCAAGCCACGCTACCTTGCGGTACCCGTACACGGCCACAGCCGATGCTGGTTTTCATGGCGGCCCAGGCCCTGACCAGGGCCAAGGTGAAAAGTGCGTGGAAGGGCCGGCCAGCATCGACGATCAAGCCGTGCCATCTTGAGAAACGGCCGTGGATCTGCTGGCCATCCTCAGACCCTATTTTAATTCTCTCTCTCCAGCCCTTCCGGCTGCTACTTTAACAAGGTCGTCCCTCCCCGTCGCCTGCTTTCCCTCGCAGAGACCGCACACCCCTTTCCTTGGAGCTAATAGACCTGGTTTGGGTTTTTTTTTTTTTCCATTCCCAAGACTAGGACTCTTTTCTTGCCCTTAAAGCTGCCCGACGTCCTGCTCTTTCTTACTCCTGAAAGAAAATACAAGTCCTGGCCCTGGTCATGTGATTGTCCTGCCTCAACAATCACCCTTGACCTGACCACGCGCACGACACAGGGACCCTAGGAACCTAGGACCCCTTCATCTGAGCCGCAATATCAAAACGCCGCTTCGATTGCAGCTCTTTCGTTTCTTCCAAAAGCTTAAATCGGGAGATTATTTTTGCAAAGCGTCAGGCCCAATTCGACCAGGGGTTGCTGAAACTTGGGTTATTTCTCTGACAGGCAGCCGACTCGTACCAGACCAGACACCACTCACACACCTGGTCGTGCATATTACAAACATACACACGCACCACACAACCTGCCAACTATATAGACACCGCCATGTCCTCCGCCGGCACAATCCCCTCTCAACGCTTTGGCTCATCCTCCTCCGCCTCATCAGAATCAGGACTATCTACCGCCTCTTCCACCGCCACCATCTACAGACACGGCATGGACTCTTCCGCCCCTCGACCATCAGTTGCCTCCGTCGAGGTTCTACGCTGCATGCGTTGTGCTCGCTCAGTCGAAGCTACTTCGACTGACGATGTAAGCTCCACTGGTATGGTACGCATCGCCCACAACCTCTACTACTGTGAGCGTTGTGCAAAGATGGTCGGTTACAAGTAAACCATCCGCAGCGGCAACGCCTTGGCACGGCAAAAGAAATAAAACTACGCCTTTTGTTTGGAGCAAATCGAGCGAATGCGACATGTCTTGACGATTAGCGAATCATGACAACCCCCTATTGTGTGTGTTTTGCAACTCATCATTTGCGCGTACACACGCGGCGCAAAAGACGTGTTTCACAAATCACACGCGGCCCTGTTTTTTTTTTTTTTTACCAGCGAAAATATAGAAAGGATACCCCCTCAACATGTGTTACTACCCCCACCCGACAGGCAGCTGGCATGCAGACGCTTCATGAAGCGTATTTGGCCGCTGGTCTCGAATTACAGCCTGACTAGTGTATCGACACGAGACTGAAAGTACGAGGAATCGACTTCTCCGACAGCTGCGATATATGGCCGGAACTCGTCAACTACAAGAAATCCCACCATACAGCTCATTGTCAGAAAACGTGCCGGCACTCACTACAGAAGATAGTCGCCGCATCTACCAGCCTTGTTAAGCACGAATTGCAAAGCGCCAAAGTTGAAGGGTGAACTGGGCCGCTGTTTTCTACGTCTTCGCCCCGCCACGCATGTCGACGACCTTGGAAGCACAGCTCTACGTACGGCATCGCTCGCTCAACGGCACGCTGGTAGTGTCATGGAATTTATTGCACACTTGCACCCATGGCATAGCAGATGATCGATCACTTTTTTCTTCTTCGTCTTTTCTTGATTGCGGGACCGGAAGTACGCCACAAGCGGCCGACAGTGGTGGGCTGGTGCGTATATACTTGGTTTTCAACTTGGCCATGTACCAACATGTATTTGAGAGGTGGGATTTGGCACCCAGCTGGACTTGATTGACGCGGTTTTTTTTGGCAGAATGAATTGGGCGCGGGCGCTGGGATCCCGACACGGCGGACTAGGAGGCTGCTGTGCAGCACAAGTGGCATGAATGTTTATGGATCAAGGTAGATGGACACAAATACGATACCACAACTGGCTACATTGCCTGCCCAAAAAAAAAAAAAAAAAAAAAAAAAAAAAAAAAAAAAAAAAAAAAAAAAAAAAAAAAAAAAAAAAAAAAAGTCTCCCGTCTGCGCATGTGTTGATAGGTCCCGTTGATGAAATGTGCCAGCGGCCAGGCCACGTTGTCGCCCAACGGAGCAGGGTTCCTCCCAACTGTCAGGGCAACGTGGTTTATGCACACATGCCCAGCAGAGCACATCGGCATTGACACCTCCCAACGGCCCGGCCTCATTCTCCCTCACAGATAGTTGACCCAGCCCTCCGGGTCCTGCCTCCCCTTTGGCAACCTGTTCCTGGTCGAAGATTCCTTGGCAGAAGCAGTGGAGCCCCCAATTCGACTTCTGAAACGAACCACCATGTTTAACTTTTTTGTCAGGGCCGCACCAATCAGCATGTCCCCAGGGGACCCAAGTGGGAGGGGCGCCGTGGCCATGGTCAGGCAATCGCAAGCAAGGACAAAAAAATAAGTTATCATGTGCTTCCTGTATCGGGAGTCATTCGAGTGGACGTGCGCTGCCGTGGCTGTGAATTTCTTTACCCGGCACGGCTTGGTCGTTATGCCATACCCGTGAGCATTGCCCATTTCCCGTGGTTTCCAGACGGTTCCGCGCCGATATCCGCGGTATGAGTCGACTAGAGCCTCAGGCGGCTAGTCGCAAGGTACCAGACAGCTTCACGCACGGAGTGTGTGTTGGTGTCGCGCGATAAGGCACGACAACATGACGATGAATACATGGATTTTTTTTTTCTTTCAGGAAGCGAGATTACATCCTGCAGCTGCTTTGTGCACGGGTGCAGTGTCGCGTATTACAAGCCCATTACGGAGTAGAGGGGAGAAAAAGGTGCCCAACCTGAAAAGTCTCGGCTCTCGCAACGCCTCCATAACGGGGCGGGCGGCGGGACAAAAGGGACCCGTGCCACGCATACGGTTTTTTTTTTTTTTTTATAATTTTATTGCGGCTGTGTAATTTTTTCCATCTTGGCTGTGCTTCAGGTGAGACGGTGTCGTGTTCCCGGCAAGATGGTCGGGTGCTTTGCCGGGCCTCTCTCGGTCAGTTGCTTTTTTCTTTTTTTTTTTGCCGCAGTTTGTGCTTGTACCAAGACAAGATTCTGCCATATCCACGCCCTCGGAACCGAGGGGACTTGATACCGGCTGATCTACAGGGTTGGTCCGACGACCCATCTTGCGCTGCTGATCGGGCGGGCGTACGCCATTGACAAAGCTGAGGCTCAACCTGTGGGCTTGGGAAATGCGGCCATGCAAGGCACAGCCAGGCACAATTCGGGCGGCCCATGTCGGGCGGCTTGACAGACTTTGTTTTTTTGACAGCGAGGGTGAGACTCGTCTGCTTGGATCGTCGGCATTCCCGTTCATGCAGCTTACACGGTCCGTTTCAGACATTCACGGCAGCTGTCTCTTTATGCGACCGCCGGTAATTAACATGGCAAAAAAACAAAAAAAAAAGTGACCAGACAGTTGTTGTTGTTGTTGTTGTTGTCGCAGTGTGCCGTACAGAGTCTACAGTACTGCAATAAGCTCGGCCGTCTACCTTCCCCATTTGGTTCAGCTCTGCGCCGTGATTGCACCACTCCCGAGTGATCTACACTGGCGCCACGGGCAAGATCCCTTGACGGATACAACACAGCACAGGGTGCACCAAGTTGAATAGAGTGCCCCCCCCCCCTTTGCCATTTCCACGTGTTGATACCCTGCTTGCTCATCATACAGCCCGGCCAGACGGCGAATGTCACTTGGGATGCTGCTATGCACATGTTGACTGGCGTCGGGGCGCATGTTCACAGGGTTTTATTGGGGTGAAACGTGCGCAGGTGAAGAGGCCGTGCTTGTTCATTTCCTTTCGACGTGTTGGCTGCGGTTCCATGTGGGGCAGCAGGTTATTTGCCCGGCATACATATGCGCTCCATCACGAATAGATTTGTGTCCTTTATTTCTTGGGCCGTGTTTTGAATAGAATCAGCGACCTTGTGAGCGGGGGTGAAACCGGCTCTACTTTACTCGCGACACGGGGCCATCTATGTCGCTGCATGCATGCTTGTCCCTCTTCGTTCTGGGTACTGCGGCATCTATAATTATACTGCGTGCGAGCTGCGTGTTTGACCACACTGGGCACATGCCACTGCGGCGACCTCTTCTTCATGAATGGAGGAAGTGAAACCTGTGCAAAGGTCGAATTACGCAAAAAGGCAAATACAAAGTTCAGCTCCGCCCCGTGTCAAGAGGACGGCCGTCCAATTGCCGTGGTAAACCTGGGAGCGGACTGGCTGACTGGCAGGATGGATTCAAAGTTGTCGAGGCTGAATAGTGGAACCGGCAGAGCAATGCTGAAGAATGGTAGCTGACAAGAGCAGCGAAATTGATAATCACGCCTCTAGCTGCAAGCCGGGATTCGTGTACTCGCCGTATAATCTCGGGCTTTTTCATTCACGGTCCCCGAGCCAGAGCACGAATCTCAAATATGCTCTTTAATCTCGCGACTTTTCACCAACACCTTCATGTCTGCGGTGTCGATTCAAAAAAACGACTTGGCTCACGGGTGAGACATGGCCCTTCTGTCGACAAGTGAGAACCATTCCTCGCCGTCTTCCTTTATTGCTCCTCCCTGTTTCTCACTTCTCACTTTCCGGTTCCCTAGCCGCTCGTTTAGCAGAGGGTCGTACGCAGTACAAATCCCGGGCGGGGGTCCTTGTTTCAAGCGGTCTGGAGAAGCCTCACAAAGGGATTACTACAGCGCTTTCTGCACTGGCAGATGGCATAGTTGGTTGGACTCCCGCTGTCATCCCATATCTCGTGTGGGACGCGTTACAAAGACCTCCATGACAAGCCCGGGGGGGGGTCAATTTTTGGCCGAGCCCGGGGGATGATGGGTGTCGGGCTTCCGGGACTTTGCTTTATTTTTAATCTTGTCTAATTTAATTTTTTTTTGGCCATTGTGTTTGTGTCGGCGTTGCTTGCACGCCCAGACGGCCAGGGTGGCCCTGTTGGGCGCACAAAGAGCACGGATTCTGGACTTGTTTTTGGGCAACATTGGGCTGCTATATTTGGGTCGTGATAACGGAGAAAGGAAGAGCATAATGAGAAAAAAAGCCAAAAACAAGAGAAGAACAACAAGGTTGCCAACTTCTATACTCGGTTTCAAATGCATACTTTTCCACGCGGTCCAGATCTTTGGAAGCCTCGCTGTCCCAGCTGGGGCGTGTGCTTGCTTCTTCGTCGAGACGATGGGCGCTCGTGATTCGTACAGGCGGGCCTCTCTTCTGTTATTTCTTCTTCCATTGACTCGTGCTCGTGCTCATGCTCATGCTCATGCTCATTCATTCATGCCCATGCTTCTGGAAATTCGGCAGCTTGCTTGGTTCGTCCCACCCCCCCGGGGCATCCACCGTCGGGGCTGACCATGGCCATGCCGCGTATTACATGCCAAACAAGGCCATGATTGCAAGTCGGCGTGTAAACTGAGTGGCTGGCCCTACAGCCCGCTCTGCGGCTCACCGGCCTGTTGTTGCTCGACACACACCGACGTTGGGTACCGTGTGCCGCTTGTCGTATATTCCCTCCCGGCCAGGCAGACCATGGCAAAAGGGCCCGTCGAGTTGCTGGCAGCTTGGGGCCATGCAGACCTTGACGAAAGCAACAGAACAAATCCTGAAGCCGCCAAGGCAAGGGTGTAAAAGTCAACAGACAGTCACGGTGTGCACGAGTGTGCGCGCCACGGAAACAGAGTGATGCCATCGTGCTGCCCACATGTACGATTTCATCATCCGCCTTGCACGACGGTCCAATGCAGAATGTCCAGCTGCCAACGTCGGCCGAGCAAAAAAAAGCCCATGTCGTCAACCATCCAGGTTTTTTTCGCTTATTATTTTCGCAAATGCCCCTTGGAGCCAATTATACAAACCCACATGTTGCCATGTCCCTGGTCACCCTGACCTCATCGCACATCGCGACCCCCTCTACGCGCTGGGTGCCCTGCATCTCTGACTGGTCTTTTGAAGGGGGGTTCGACCGGAACGAAGAAAGGTGGGGGGTGTGCAGCTTCCCTTTATCTCTATTCAGAAAAGGGGGCATCGCCGTGGTTTTTTGGTCGTGAATGCAATTATTGAACATGGGCAAGGGTAGAGAGGTGCCGTTTGGCCGTCTATTGGGCCTTTGTCCTGCGCGATGGCTACGCAACGGTTCTGTGCCAAGTCTGCTGTTGGATTTGACCGGCGGCATTTGTTTCAGTGCCGGTATATGCCAAACGAGAGCTCGCTACCTACCATATTGGGGAATTGCAGGTGTTGGATTCATTGGACCTCCGACCATTGGTTGCGAATCCTGTCGGACTGGTCCCACGAGTCATAGTCTTTGTAATCCGTCACCAAGTGTATTCTTTTCCATCGATATATCCGTCATTGGTAGCGTTAACACGCTTCCGGAACGAATCTCGGCCTCCCTTTCTAAATTATTTCAAAAGAATATGCGGGGAAAAAATACTTGTGCCCTTGAGAAAATGAAAACTATGTTTCTGAATTGTCTTGGGGGAAAAAATAGCATAAAACGTATTCTTTTTTTTAATTCATTACTCTCATGCAAGCCATGGGCTTATGGGGAGGTTACTCATCTTCCATAATATAATACAATGGATAACAAGCTAGCTACAAAACGTATTCCCTTGGAGCAAAAGCTATATTTCTAAATTATCTAGAAAACGATGAAAAAAAATAAGCAACGATTCCCCTCGAAAAGCAAAGACTATATTATCAAGCTCAACAATTACCTTCTCTACCAGCCTTCTTAACCATTCGGCTGTTTTTACAAGCGTCAGATCAAACCATTGCTCTGCCATTACGACACTTGTCCGCAGATGCATGGCCATTCAGATGTGAATCTTGCTCCAAGGTTAGCTACGCGGCATCTGGGTTTTCCCCTCTGCTGAAGAATGACCGTCTCATTGATAAAAGCCTTCCCAAGCCTTTCCCTACCGCCCAACAATCCCGAGGACGGGGTTCAAAGGACTGTCCTGCCAAAAGAAAATTGGCTAAATTTCATCAACATTGCGCCCCCTTTGCTTGTACATGTGTCAACATACGACTACTAGCTCGTAAAACTACTCAAGTAGGAAACATGGCCTGCCGGGCAATAGTTAGCAGTCACACGCTCACTATTAGCTCATCAGCACAAAGAGGCGATGAGTTGGTTGGAGGCAGCCAGACGGATGCAGCAAGACTATCCAAAAGCCAAGGTACAATTCCGGCGCCGCAGTTAAGAAATCCACCTTGTCAGAACGCTCGTGCTCATACTCATCCTGCTCTCGAAACCTACGGAAAATGGAGACGAACCAGTGGTTTGGGGTATATACCACTCAACGTGACTAAATATCTAGCCGTCTTCACACAAGCGTTCTAGGAAATCAAGCACTCATGACATCGCCCGGAGAAATCACCGAGGTACATCCACGCTTTCCAGGCAGCATACAAATCGTTCAGCATCACAGAGAAGAACTTGAACATGATCGCTGTACTGCAGCGCAACCGACTCCAAACTCCCAAGCCATGCCCGTTTCTGTTCCCCAACCAGCCCAGAACCCCGAACCAAACAAAAGTACAATTCCAACAGGCACCCTACTCCTCCATCTTCACGTCACTCTCCTTTCCCAGATTCTTCAGCAGATAACTCCTCTTGAAGTACTCATTCGGGTGAACAATAGTCTCGAGCTGATTCGACGTCATGACGCCCTCATCCTTGGCTTTTTTGATCTCAGCTTTGTGGAGGTGCTCAAATACCCTGTGAACAAATACATCGTCAGCGGGCCCATCTCGACAGTTCCCCCTCCCCCATTCGGGAGCCAACATACCTATTACAAGCCATGTGATACTTCTGATTATCCTTGTCCTCCTTGACGCCTTGCAGCACGGATCTGTCAGAAACACCCATCGCCTGCACCAGCGCCGTCAGGTTCTCCAGGTTGAAGTGTCTGTACGGACAGCCGTGCGCCTCCCCAGGACCAGGGGGGTGTTCTGTCAGGATCTTCTGGCAGCTAAAGGGGCTGTAGCCGCCTCCTCGCCTGTTCGAGTCGCCGCCCACGTCGCCGTATGCGTGACGCACATTGTATCTGTACTCCTTGTTGAACTGGTCGTCGGTGATTTTGTGGAACGAGTTGCGCCAGAACATGAGGCACTCCTCGAGGTTCAAGCCGATGCCCTTGAGGAACAGCGTGTACTGCAGGCGTCCGTAGTGCTTGAGGTGGGCGTCTCGCCGGAGGGAGCGGTGCAGGTGGGACATGCACGCCGGGAAGTGCTGGGAGAGATTGTCAATGTTGGAGGCGGTGATTTGGGCGCCGGCTGGGGCCGACGAGTTGGATGCGTATGCCGAGTCGGGCGTGATGAAGTTCTTGGAGAGGTGGTTCAGGATGGGCGTCAGACGGTCGTCTTCATCGAGCCGCGGCAGAGCCCGGGCAGTCAGCTGTTAGGAATTGTCAGGAGCTTATTCAGATGCTTCAAAAAAAAAAGGGGCGTGCATCGCATATACCTCGAGCTGCTTCTCCAAGCGCGACGAAAATTCTGCCACCACCATGCTGGACTGCTCTCTCGCCGGCACAAATGCCTTTCCCTGCTTCAAAAATACCCTCCGCCCCTCAATCAGCTCTGGCACTCTCTCCCAATCCACCTTGAACCACGTGTCGTCCTCGGCAGCAGATTTCTTGGGACCCGTCGCCATGGCGGCCAAATCCGCGGCGTACTCCCTCTTCTCATCATCCGTCACGGCCTCCCACCAATCCAAGTCGAGACTGGACACAAACGCCGACCGCTCAGACAAGTCATCGTTATTGAACCTCAGGCGGAAGAGCATCGTTTCCACACGCGTGAATCGCCGTCGCAGGTCCTCTGTCGAAGAGAATGCCAACCGGAGAATAAAGTGACTGTAGTGATCCTTTTGTCTCTGGCTGAATAGTCGGTCTGCAGAAGAGCCGCGCGTGTCGAGCGGCAGGTACTTGTCCAGAATGGGCTTCATGTGGGCGGCTGTTTCGGCCGGTGTGCGGTTTCTAAAGGAGCAGGCCTCCAATTCCGCCAGGACTATGGCAGATGTCAGCATTTGTCGTGCCAGTTTGAATGATGAGCGAGCTATGGTGCGCACCTCGTAGGCGGTCAATGGCCCATTGTTCAAACTGTTCAAGGGTGATATCGGCCGTCGGCGCGTCGGTGTAGAAGTTCAGTCTGTGAGGATACTCGGCGTCCTTGTACTGCGGAATCGCGAACGGCGTCTTTCTGTGGTCCACGGTAGTACGACGCTTCGGGTCAATACGATTATAGTCCTGGCGCAACATGATGATGGGTTTTCGCAGGGCCGTACTGGCGAGAAATTATCGACATGCCTTGGCACCAGAAACTGAGAGCTTGGTGTGTTAAAAAGGGTGTCGCGGAGCTGAGGCCATGGTAAGAGAGACGCGTTCAGACGCGTCCATGTGGGGGTAAGCCAATTAAGGTGATCAGCCAATCAAGTGCGTGATGATTTGGATGCGGAACTCATCACCTTGCGATTGAACATCAACGTTTGGCTCTAAATGTAAATCTGCAAGTCGACCCATCACATCGTTGAATAATTAAAGATTCGGAAATATAGCAGCAACATGAGAGATCATGTCCCGCCAGCTCCGCACCCGGAATGCACAACACGCCCAAGATGACCAACCTTATACCGCCAGCTACAACTTCCGCATCCCTCCCGAGGCGAGTATTCACCTTCTTCACTGTTCCTCCCATGTCTCTCTCATATTCTGCTTCAACTCACTCACACGCATCAGCTCCTCCGCCCAACTAGTAACGTGACATCCTGTAGTCTCCTCAAATTGCCCCCGGAAATCCTCATTCAAATCTTCACACAGTCTCTCCCGGTGGACGCCATACTCCTCGCACTCACCTGCAAGCACCTCCTGTCAATCGCGCATCTCTGTAACCTTCAAGTTCCCTGTCCGCGAAGCCACCGCCAGCCCTGGGCTCTCGCCTTTACGCCACTTGCATCCTCCAATCTGGACCCCCCGTCGATGAAACACTGCCACTGCAGACAACTCGGCTCCATCCTCCCGCGCGTCTGGCCAGGGCGAATTCCATCCCGGCGCACGCGAGCCTGGAGTCTCTGCGTGGACTGCGCCAGCTACCGACCAACCAGCAAGTCATACTGGTCGCGGAAGCTGGATCGGCTCAATACTCAGGACTGGCGTAGAGATCGTGGTGACGCTTGGCAATCTGCGGTGAAGTGGTTCGCGGCCGGGTTCAAAGTCCAGTGTCCCACTTGTCAAATTGCCGAGCACGATGTGGGCAGGGCGGCCGAGGACATGGAGAATAATACATCTCCTAGTTTTTAAGATAAGCGAGGGGTGCAGATGGCACGGAGATCAAGGTCAATTACGCACGAGCATGTGCTGTACTTTATACAAAGGAACACGTCCCGGTCACTTCACGACTAGACGATATATCTAATTTGGTCGTTGAATCGTCATCAGCTTTTAAATTTTCCGACTATAAAAACCAGCTCCGACGCTCGCTTATTGTGGTACATGAGACAAGTGGCCAAAAAACCCCAACGAGAGTCGTTTTAAAACCCAAAAGTATCATGTGCCCATTATATGTTTGCCCTCCCCGACTCATACATCATGATCCTTCTACGCTGAAGAATGTTCTCGGCTTCCTCAGCTTCTCTCCTTCTCCAACCATGTTTGTCTCGATGCTCGCCAGCTCAATCTGCTCGTGGCCCATGATGTTGCTGTTCCTGCTGTACCGATCGTGGGTGCCATTTTGCCTCGGGTAAGAAGACTTGCTACGGGACAGGTTGGTGCTGAAGATGCGAGGCGCCGCGCGCACGAGAATCAGCCGCACGGCTGGCAGGCATGTGCAAATGATGCCAACGTTGACCTCGATGGTCGACCACCAGCCCACGATCCAGTCGTCCCACGTTGGGTTGGTGGAATTTGCAAAGGTGATGAGGGACTGCAATCTCAGAATAGAGACAATGGTGACACTGGAAGACGGACACAAGTCAATTGCAAGTTTCTCTGAAACAGGAACCCCCCCGGTCAAGATAGATGGAAGGAAGGGGGTGGTGTGTAGCCTTACAAGGTTCCAAGCAAGAACATCAAAGTGACGCCAATCTTCTTCTTCCAGTGAAGCTGCAGCTTCTGAATCTGGCTCAGCGGCAGCGCAATCATCCACAAATCCACGGCGATGTTGAGCGCGGCTTGGACCCACGCAAACGTATTGATGTCGATGCAGTGGCCAGGCACGTTGGGGTCGACGTACTGCGTCCAGAACCGGTCCACCGGTGTACACTGGAAGATGGCCGTCGTGACAAACGTAAAGCCAAAGACGACGTTGAAGATGGCAGTCCCCATGAGAAGGCGGCGGATGGTCGTCCCCGGGAAGATGTACAGGTAGAACAGCGTCAGGCTGAGCTTGATGAGGGACATTTCGGTGAGGTACAGGACTTCCATGACGTAGAAATACATGATAAAGGTGGTCAGTTCGTCGACCGAGATGGTCCAAACATCCTTGCCCAGCCCGTTGTCAGTCAGGCCGACCTTGTTGATGGTGGTGGACACGACTCCGACAGCCGCAGTCGCCAGGATGACCCAGTCGTCGGCGCCGAGTTCTCGCCTGTAGCTGAAGAATTTCTTGAACAATAGTCGAACCAGGACTAGGACTGTCGTGATGACGCCAATGGTGAGGTTCATGGCGACATGCCGTCCGCTTTTATCGCGGATCGGTCTATTACACGCGGTTTCGGTGATGTTCTTGGTGGCTGCTCACAACCAGGTGGTTAGAAGCAAAAGTTTCCGAGTTCAAGGGATACATCAACCACACGGTGTTGTGCCTACACAATGCCTCTGCCAAGCTGCACGCCGCCATGGTGCAAGGCGTGCCGGCGTCCTCAATGGCAGCATACTTGTCCACGCAAACACATTGCGGATCGTCGAGGCCACAGCCTGCCTCGGTGACAGACTGCTTAAGACAGTTCAACTAGACGGCCGTGAGTCTGGATATCTCTAGAGTTGATGACACAAGAAACGGTACTCGAGCTTACTGCACAGGAAGGAATCTTGGCCAACGAGGCCTCGAGGTCGGATGCCGATGGGACCTTGGTATTCGACCCACAAAGACAGAGCCAAGGCAACGCCAAGACGAGCAGATACGCGAAAGCTGGTTTTGGTCTCATCATGGCGACGATGTTGATGATGATGCCGCCCCCGTGTCTTCAACGGTACAATCATTTGCTCTCCTGGCTCATGACGCCGTTCGAGCTGTGTGAAGGGAAGAAAGGGGCACAAATACCACCAGAGATTGAAGAAGACACCCAAGGCCGTTGGACCAACTAGCTAACGTTACCTTGTGCTTCGTCTTCTTTAGCCTATTCAACGCCCCCTGCGTGGGCCAGAGACTGGGGGTTGGAAGTAAAATGGGGGGGAGGCGATTGTCACAACTGTCATATCGCGCGCGGCGTCGACGTTGCCACAACCACTTTGCGCGCAAAACCCGTTCTCTCACCCCCAGGTGGACGTCGGAGGTGGAAAGGAGGGCCAGGACAGCATATTGGACGTCCAAAACTACCGTCATGATGATGTGAGGGTTTATTGGGCCACCGTTCTGGCCGAGTTGGCCATGATTTTGTGGCTTACTATGGCTGCGACTCCCGATACCGGGCCCCTATATATTTTACCATGGGCGTCGGGGTAAAAGCTGTTTATATGGTCGCGCCTTGATAAAAAATCATAAAAATTCAATTGAATTGAAGCTATTCAGGGATTTCCACCAAAATATCCCGGGGGTCCTTCGTGCCCAGCTCACGCGAATTATCTCGATAAACAGCTCCGAGGCTAATAGCTATTAAAGTTGTTCGCGATACTTTAATAGCTGTGGGCGCTATTACAGGCGGCGGTGTTATTATTGTGGGATGCGTGGTGTTAATTACCACTAAATCCCGACACCGGCAGCTGATAGGGCTCCCACCAGAGCGGCGGCCACATAAACCGTCCCACGATATGATGTGATATTAAGTTTCAGTTTTTTTTTCTTTAGGCTTTGACCTAACTTGCAATATTTTATGGTTTTTCTTTTCGATGCAAACGATAGTGCAAGCACTACATTAGGAAAAGCCCATGTGCTGGCCGTACCCGGGCCAGAGAACCGCAACAGACCACGCAATACCGTCAATCTTATGATATAATGTTCGAGATGCCGGCCGTAAAGAAAGCCAAATCACGGAAGAGAAAATCGTCACCCACAGACCACGGCGACCACTAACAATGTACAATATCCGTTGCCGTGGAAAAAGCCAACACACCCCTAGAGCTCAGTATGGATGTCTCTGGCTGCCCCAACCCCCCTTTGGCAACGAACGGCTCGAGTCAGGATCCACTGGTGGCGGCCGCCTGGGCGTTTAGATTGACATCTTCAGGACCCCGTGGATCTCAGCCACCCTATCCATCTTGGTCCTGGTCTTGTCATCGGCCGCCTCCCAATTGGCTGAATAACCTGCTGGGACCACGCGACCTTTGCCGTCCGCTGGGCCGGTCCAGCTTCTGAAACGCCAGGCGTCGGCCAAGCTCATCCCTTTGGGTGCCGATCCTGAGCGACTCGCAGTGTGTCGGCGGTTGTGACAGACGGGGCACAATATCCGAGGCAGGGCGCAATTAGAGTCTTGCTCCCAGGCTCGGAGCCGGGAACCATTGTGCGGGTGCAATGTGAAAGTACACCTGCATCTTGAGTTTACTGTACTCTATACGGAGTATATACTAAGCATCTAGAAGCTGCAGCGGTGATGTGGTGATTGACATTGTCCAGCAGATTGGGTCGCAATTGCTGGCAGATGCCGCTCGTAGTATCGTAATATTCCCGGCATGTCAATAACGCTAATATCTCAAATCCTCGTTTCTGTTATTTTGCTTCTTGCTCTTGGCATGTTATTGGTATTGCATATAGTATATAAGCTATGAGTGAGTATATAGAAGTATGTTTGTGTAATAATACTACTATAACTATCATGTATAGTATATCATAGTATCGTATATAATATTCATGTAGTACAGTATATTGTAAGCCAGGTATCCATTCTGGTTTCACAGTTTTGGCCGCTCACTATAGCTCCAACGACACTTTGTCCTGACGCATCGACGGCTTGGTCCAGAGGACTCCAATGACGATTGCCTGTGAGAGGGAAGGAAACATCAATGCTTTAAAGACGGAATGCCGCGGAACTGGTTGGACTGGGGATTAGCCTGGTGTGCTACCTCTTGTAACAGCATGCCCTTTCCGACGGTTGCTAGTTACTACAATGCGACACTGTCTGTCCGTGGGGTTTGGTTTTACAGTCTATAGCAGAATATACCCGCCGCAAGTATACGCCTACATGCTACAGTACGATGTAATAGCATAGCATAGAGCACATACCTGGTTCAATACTTTTCGGCCATGGTTGGATAGATTTTATCCCAACATGCTTTTGTAGCTGCTGCTCAATCCCAACCTGTTCCCCTCCCTACCTCCAGTCAAAGTCTAAAAGATGGGCTTGTATCCGGTATTCCCAGGCGCCATGGAAAAGACGCTTGTCACATTTGACAGCTGCAACCCATGCAAGCCACCGCTGGAGGCGCCCAGTAATGTTGGGGTTGCACGACTCAAGGGGTCTTCAAATGCCGCAAGGGGCATACTGTATTTCACAACATGTTGAGTCGGACTGCGTCGATGCCGTTCATGTACAACTTCGTATAAGTAATGGAATTGATTTGGAATTGGAAATATCCATTGTCAAGGTCAGCTGGATTGTCTCGAAGCTGCGTCGCTACTGCCACCGTCTGCCAATTAGTACGCGGAACGGGCCTTCGGACAAAACAGATACAAATCCGGCACTCTAGCGTCTCCATCGCGAGGGTTCATGACTTGTTGATTACCTAGATATTGTTATAAATGAACCCTGGCGAGGACACGACACATAATATCGATCCCAATAGTATCGATGCATTTTCGGGCCAACGTTGTGAAAAGGGATCTGCTGGGTTGTTTATGATCCGGCCGGGAGCCCTTCAATACGGTCATCAGCGTTGAGATGGCTGCCCCAAGCCAATAGGATGCAGCACTCCTTGGCTTCAGCGGCGAGGAAGCAGACCTTTGTAGTTTACCCTAAGATACGGGTGCACAGTCCGCAGTAGTCCATGTTGTCTCGGGATCAGGGTGAGAAGAAGATGTAGGGTAAGGCGAAAGACGACGGGCCACGCTCGTCAGGTCCGGCCGTCCTAGAGAAACAGACGAGTATTGACGGGTGCCATAACGGTCTGTGTGAGGTCACTGGTCTGTTGATTCGTGGGGTACGCGGTATGTACTTGATAGAAGGGGCCTTGGACAGAACCTTGCTGCAGATAGTTACGTTGTGCAACTTAGAGTGGCATGGATGGAAACGCAACACTCATCGTGAACCTTTATGCAGGTGTCCAAGCGCCACCGACCGCGTGGGGGCTGGCGACGGCGGGAAAGGGCCTGCAAGGTTGGCAGTCGATGCACCCTCCCATTGTTGTTTTGTCTAGTATGCCATCTGCTGATTCATGACTGGAATGATGCTGGGATTGCACAACACGCTCCAACACAGATCCGAGAGATGCTCGGTACGGAGTAGATTCCATCAGAATAGATAGACCTTGGGATGGGGGCTCGGTGGGGCCAGGCGGTCAAATCGGGAAGTCCGAGGATTTTGGGCACAGAGTGCATGTCGAGTGTAGTGTTGCGGCGCAGGACAATTATCCATCTCTCTATATAGAAATTTTCCTTTCAAAAGAGCCCATGTGGCCAGATACCTTTGCTACATTCATGTGCGTCGAGTGCGTCGATACGCCGGTACTACTCCTGTCGTATCCAACGGCCTGGTTGCTCTTGCCTATAGAACTGATTGACCCCACACGTGCATCCTCTGGCTCGCTCCTGCCGCCTGAGGAGACACTCGACACTGTAGCTACCACGCCCCACTCTGACAGCTCGAGTCTGGTGTTCCTGCCGATGCCAAACCACCAGTCGCGCTGTGTGTTCTTGCCTACAGCCAGCCCATCGACGACCTCAATCCTTCCTCACCCCGATTTCCTCTCTTCAATCTCGCCAATCCACGCCCGACGGGTCGCCTCCCGCGCCATACACATCCTCACCAACATCAGTCGCCAACATCGGTACGGCGCAATACCGGCCCCATGTTGTTATAGAAGAGCCATCCATTTGTTCGTCCTACGCCCTGCGACGTGCACCCCCGCGACGACGAGGCCCTCGTCAAATTCCTCGACCGGCCACCGCCTCCCAATCGCACCATCAGCTCCTTCTGCCCCGCATCGTTTATTCCTCCCAGTCCACTACTCTTTTGCACCAAAGCCATTGTCGGGGTATGGATTGCCTGCCGTGTTTGTGGAAATATTTTATCAAACATACATCATTGACATCACTCGTCGCAGTGGTACAGGTCCGACGCCCAGGCGACTGACACACAATCTGGGCCGGTAGCCATGAGTAGCTCCGAGGTACCTCAAGTAACTGATTCTTTACCATGCGATGAATCCAGCGACGTCTACTACAATGGCCCCGGAATCCAAGACACAGAATCCTCGACAGACCCGCCTGCTTCCTCGACAAGACCCTTTATCGAGTTCCAATCGAAAACCATTGCTCCATCGCCACCTGCCTCACATTTAGCCTTCCACCAGCC